GCATCATTACTCCAGTCTTCAGTGTCACATGATCCTTTAGAAATCATTTTAATATGCTGATTTGCTGCTCAAGGAACATTTTTGATTATTGCAATGTTGAAAACAGGTTGTGCTGCTTCATATTTTTTGTGGAAAATGTGATACCATTCAGTATCGGATAAGATTAAAAAATATAAATTAATATTTTTCTTCAACAAGGTTGCATTAAATTTATTTAAGTGACAGTAAAGATATTTATACTTATTACGAAGTGCTTATTTTTCAAATAAATGCTGTTCTTTAACTGAGAACCATTAGGCTATACCAAAATTATTAATAATTGATCAAAAATAATAACTGATAATAATTAGGCAGCAAATTAAGCAGCATTAAAATGATTTCTGAAGGGGCACTGAAGACTGGAGTAATGATGCTAAAAATTCAGCTTCATTCTGTTGATTTTAAAATATCCTAAATAGAAAACCACTATTTAAAGTGTAATATTTCATAATATTATTGTTACTGTATTTTTGTTCAAATAAATTCAATCTTCTTTCAAATAAAGAAATAATTAAAAGCCTTTTAACCACCGGTGTATATAAAATAATGCATGTGAATTAATAAGCAAATTATATTTTTATTAGGCCTATAATATAAATCACTTTCATATGCACAGCACTCGAAGGCAAAAGTCTTCAGATTTACAATGTTTTAGAGTAAGATTGAGAATGATTTTTATAGATTTTTAAACCTTTTCTTAGACACGTGAAATCACGGAAGAAAGCCTATACAGAGAAACATTAACTCTTATCTCATGTCTGCTGAAAACTGCTATGTTATGTAGGCCTACATTGTGACGAAATGGCATTAAAATCTAAGAAATTTGAAAAGCCCAGTAGTAGTTTGCATTCTTGAAAATTAATGTCTGTCGTTTAACTTTTTTTTTTTTTTATCATAACGGTTGGCAAATATTACTGAATTGTCTCGTCATGTTTATAGCTGCTTACTGTACACCTTACCTTAGCTCGCATTAAAGTCGCGCGCAGTGTAGCGTCTGTGAACAGTAAATCCCGCCTTCTACACTTTGATGGGCTATTTCAAACATTTTATAGAGTATGTAAATATGCGTGCAAAAGTAAATAAATAAATTAGTGCTGTCAAATGATTAATCGCGATTAATCGTTTGACAGCACTAAAATAAATAGTACATGTAATGTAGCCTATTGTTTTAAGGTATTATGAATATTAAGTAGTGTTAAGCTACTGCTCAAAAAGTTGAAATCAATCTATGAAAACTATTATAGGCCTGAGACACAAAGCTAAATAATTAATTAAAATGACCTTGGCCAAATAAAGTATTGCACCTGATAGTATTGGGGATAGCTATGAAGGTAGAATGACGTCAAAAAGATTTGCATACGCAGGGTAAGAGTTGTGGAAGTGTACATAAGACTGTAAAATTTACGCTTACAGTCTTATGTACACTTCCACAACTCTTACCCTGCGTATGCAAATCTTTTTGACGTCATTCTACCTTCATAGATAGCCTTAACTTTAACCCTAATTGTAAAGTATTCGCTTCTGATACTTTTACTTTTCTCATCACTTAAAAGAATCTCCTCCAATAGAAAATCTTTTTAATTTTCTAATTTAATTATCAATTTAATTATTATTAATTTAATTATATGTTACTGTTTTACGGTACCCACGTGTTCTTGTGCTTGTTCTAATGTTAATGTGTATCTTTCTGATAAAAAAAAAAAGTATTGTGGATAAGTATTCACAATGACACAAACTGTTTATTCCTCCAGGGGGCGCTCAGAGCCGCATTCATGTAGGCTGTTCGGAACAAATGTAAAATTTTAATCCATCTTTCCAATCTTTATTTTTTATTATTCTTATTTGTATTTAATTTTAACAGGGTAAAACAGAGTAAAAAAAAAAAAACATAGATAAATCCTCCACAGATAGTTATACCTCTTTCGTCTTACAAAAAAAAAAAAATGTTAAATGACAACAACAAATATCTTGCACACTTCACTTTTGTCTGGACAAAAATGTGTTTATTCTGTTTCTATAAGAGCTTCAGAGGCAGTGAGACTTGTCTTATGATCAAAGTTATTTATTTATTTATTTTCTCTCTCGCTCTCGAAAGTGTAAATGAGATGAGTGATGAAACACGTATTATTCGTTAGTATTTTACTCAGGCGTATGCATGGGTGTCTCTGTGGGTCCTGGAGCAGCCGCAGTCGCTGTTTATTCTGCATGTGATATTGTTGATGTGAATGGACGTTGCTAGATTGAGTTATGTTTATATAAAGACTATATTATTGCTTTTATTAAACATTTGGCAGTGCGCTAATGGAGTGTTTTTGTTTTGAACTTTGCAGCTAATATGTATTTTAACTACTCGCAACCGCAAATTTAAGCAGCGACAAAACTGAAATGGTTAGATTTTAGTGTACGGTATATAATGTAACTGACCCTAACTGTGTTCGAGCAAACGGTTTAATTCAGCGCACATTGCGGCTGGTGTGTGAATGTTTTTTGTCTGGCAGTAAAATATCATTTATCAGGATGTCCTCGAGTGAAGATGCTGTGATCTCTGCACGCAGCTCATGGCTGTGCTCATCACAGAAACAGCTGTCTGATGTTCTCACCACAACACAATACAACAGTCCAAGCGATGACTGCAGGTTTGAACATGACACGTGAGTCCGTTTTAATTGATGCTGGTGGCTATAAAGCCAACCTAGTAAGTTATTTAAAAATACGTAATATGAAAAGCATATAGTACCCCAAACAATGCTGAAAATGTACGCAATCCTGTGGCTTCTTTGGACTAGACGTTGAGAAATTTAGCATCGCATCACTTGCTCACCAATAGATCCTCTGCAGTGAATGGGTGCCGTCAGAGTGAGAGTCCAGGCAGCTGATAAAAACATCAGAATAATCCACATGAATCCAGTCCATCAATTAATATCTTTTGATCTATTGGTGAGCAAGTAATGTAATACGAAAGAAACAACCTTTTTTATGTCATGATGACAGGTACATTTTCTTCAAACTTTCATTTTTGGGTGAGCTATTCCTTTAATGTGCTATTGATTCATGCAATTTCACAATAAAATAATAAAAAATAATCTTAATTAAGCCACATTTTAATTAATAATCTTAATTAAGCCACCTTAAAATCTGAATATAATGTATCAGGTGACTTGATATTCATATATTTGCACATGCATTTTTTTTCACAGGTGTGACCCTGTCTGTCTGCAGAGAGCTGAGGAGGGCTTGCCATGTGTTGTCACACTTCTGTGCACACCTAACTCTGCTTCTGTGATCAGCAGTCTTCAGGTCGTCAGTGAAGCCCGCACTATTGAAGTGTACTCACTGTCTGGAGAATACTGTGGCACCTGCCGTGGAGAGCATGTTCAAAAATCACACACTGATGGGTATTTTTATTTAATTTTTTCTTCACTAATAGGTAGCTTTTTACACTTACTTAGAGGGAGATATTACAGGCAAAGAAATGCTATATATATATATATATATATATCAACCCTCAACGGACACCTTGGCAATTGAATCGCCATTGGCTAGTATATTTTTTTGTTTACTCGCCAGACTGAAATACTATATATATATATATATATATATATTCTGGTGGTTCACTGTATCAAAAGCAGCAGACAGATCCAGCAAGATACGTATAGAAGATTTGGAAGCCACTCTTAGGGCTTCAACAACTGAGAGCAAGGCAGTCTCAGTCGAATGTCCACCTCTGAAGCCAGATTGTCATACATGCAGTACCACTATACACTACCAGTCAAGTTTTGAATAATTAAGATTTTGTTGTGTGTTGTTGTGTTTTGTTTTTTCTTCAAAGAAATCTCTTATGCTCACGAAGGCTGCATTTTTAGTTTTATTTTTGTGTCATTTGATGACAAATACAGTAAAAACAGCAATATTGTCAGATATTATTGCAATTTAAAATAATTTAAAAAGATCTCTGTTTTTGTAAAATGTAATTTATTCTTGTGAGTTGTGAAGGCAAAACTGAAATTTATGCAACCATTCGTTTAGTTTTAAGTGCCCCATGATCCTTCAGAAATCATTCTAATATGCTGATTTGGTGCTCAATTATTATCAATTATTGGTACTCCATTAATTATATATATATATATATATATATATATACACAGTATATATAGTTCTTTTTTGTTGTTTGTTCTGTTTTGTTTTTTCTTCTTTTTTCAGAATTCTTTGATAATTAGAAAGTTCAAAAGAAGAGTGTTTAAATGTTTACTGTCACTTTTGATCAATTTAAGGCAGTCTTGCTTAATAAAAGTAATTATATATTTTTACATTTCCAAACATTCATTTTGCTATTAATTGTCATAATCCAGTGAGATTTTTGTTTGCACAAGGAGTCTGACAACAGCCAGTCCTCCACACAGAGATCTGATCTGATCATCATCATCATCATCATCATCAAAAATCACAATTATTCCAAACTTTTGCCTTGCAGTGGCAAGTATAATAAAGGAACGTATTCTTTTTTTTAATATACAAATTTAAATTATTATGATTCATATATTTTCTCACATAACCTCGCATTACATATTCACTCTTAAAGGGAGTTTTTTAAACAATAGTTTATTTGGAGGAAAAGCACAAAGCTTCCTTACAAATGAACAATCATTCTTTGTGTGTGTTGTGTCCAGAACAAATCAGACATGCTCAATGGATTCATTCCTCTGCTCATGGGAGGAGGAGCTTTGAGTTGTCTGTCAAGAGGAGGTGGGGCTTCTAGTTCTGCAGGAGCAGAGTCAGGCCCAAATCTACCATCTGGCCTTGGGCAGCTTCTGTCTACCAGCAACCAGAACCAGACCCCCGGAGCCATGTCTGCCATGCTGAGCTCTGAAACCGGCACGATCAACCCAGACCTGCTTCCAATGCTGCAGAGCGTATGCGGTCAGGTCACGCAGCTCCGACTGGAAGAAGCCACATCACAAGAGAGGAAGAAGAATGGAGAACGGTAAGTGTGAGTCATGTGTGGTTTTCAATAAACAGAAATTCAGTTACCATGGTGGTTGAAGCCACATAAGATTGGTTGTGGTAACAAGCTCATCGTGATAACAGTGCAAGTACTATGAATAATAATACTGATAAACACATGATGTTTTTAATACTTTTTGGGTTGCTAAAGATAAAACATTAGTTAACTGCAAAATGTAAATATTCCCTCAAGATTTTTGAGCCTGCATTGGTTTATTTCTTAAGGGGAACACAAAGTAAGTACTAAGTACTAGAAGTACTCTGTTTCATACAGTGAAAATCCATGACTTGTGCACTATATCCCAAGTTTATGAAGCTGTATGATAGATTTGTATGATGAACAGACAGGTTCTTTTTCACTGAAAAGGTTTTACCCCAATGAAGCTCTGCAGTCTCATTCAATTCAAATATGATGAGATGTGTGGCCCATCATATACAAACATGGCACGTCATGTTTTGATGTGTCATATGTGAATTGAATGAGATTTGAGAGCTTTGGTGTACGAGAAAATTATCAGTGAACATGACTGAAAGTCTGTTCTACAATGATATAATACGATTTTATTAAAAAAGGACTATTCTGGACAATTCTTTTTTTTTTTTTATTGCTTTTTTCCCATATACATACAATATACAAATATACACATCCAATTTGACATAATACAACGAGACACAGAACAAGTCAAACAGAAACATGATGACAAAGGGAGGAACTAATAATCAGAATTACACTTAGTACTGTTGAATGCTTTAAAGTAGCCATTTCTTTAACATATTTTCCCCTTCCCTCCCTCTTCCCCCCTCCACCTCCAACTCACCCCATCAGCAACAACACCATCAAAGATGATAATAATAATAATAATAATAATAATAATAATAATAAAGATTGATAAAATATGGCCATTGATGATGCTATCTACACTTATTCCTGAGGGCAGAAAGGGGATCTCCCCCCCTATTCCAGTAACCCAGGTACACCAGCCTTTAGGATAGGGGTGCTCTAATCAGGATTTTTGAGACCGATCGCCGATCACAGAAAGCAGTATCTGCCGATACGATCACCGATACCGATCTTTTTAAATTTTGAAAATGAATTCTCCTCTTAGGTGACTCTTGTGAGAGGGGATTTTTTTAATTTGAGGGGTGGAGGGGGACATTTAAAAAAATATATATATTTATCTCACCTAAATGTTCGATCATGCAGTGCATTTTTGTTTTTACACTCGTGCAATTATTGCACAATAGCTTACACACAGCACAAAAGAGTTGCTCGAGCAAGTGGCAAAACATTTCAAATACTTTTCTTATGTTATCACAAACATTCTAAATTAAAACTTACCATTGACAGAAACAGTCAGCTCTACTGCCTTTCCTTTTACTTTTAAATCTTTATTACAAGCAATGCTGCGTTCATAAAGAACTTTGTTTTACTATCTCCAAGAGTGCCAACTAGCCAACAAGCCATATGTGTTGATCGTGAAACACAGTAGACTTTAATTATATGTATTTATGGTGTAATTACTACATTTCCGTGTCAATCCATGTTCATTTTTTACAAGCAATGCTGCGTTCATAAAGAACTTTGTTTTACTATCTCCAAGAGTGCCAACTAGCCAACAAGCCATATGTGTTGATCGTGAAACACAGTAGACTTTAATTATATGTATTTATGGTGTAATTACTACATTTTCTTTTCATACTGTATTTACCGCAAACAATGTGCTGTCACTTTAATTCAGAGCATGCAGCATACCCGGTGTGGAAACGATCTCTGCACTGCTGCAGACGCACCGCTCCTGGAACGCACTGCCGGACCGCAACCATGTGCTGTGTGAACGCATCCGTTAACATGAGCGCGGAAAAATACGCACTGCAAACGGAGTAATGTGAACCTGGCGTTATGTGTGTGCGCTGCGAGTGTGCATGAGCGCGCGAGCACTGAATGGTTTAAACACTGGCAAGAATTAAAAATAAATGCAATTTATAAACTTTAGTTACAATGCAACACTGCCTCGATTGTGCAAGTGACAATTCCTGTGTCAACTGTGCAGCGTGCAACTCACTTATAGACAGATGCGATGTGTGGTGATTTGAAGCCATTTGCGCATTTTGAGAGGGAACACCTTCAGCATAATAATTATTTCACCCGCGCCGGACAGAGACTGAAATGTGCCGCTGCATGTCATGCTAAACCTCTCATGGCAGGCGCATCATCAGCTTGACATTGTTTTTTTGAGATCGGCCTTTATAGAGACTGCCGATCAATCATCCCAAAGCGATTATCGGCCGATAGTGATTGGTAGCCGATCAATCGGAGCACCCCTACTTTAGGATTTAAGGTTCATTATAATCATTCTTCTGCGTCCTGCCTTCCACCCTCCCTGCACGCCACAGAGTGCATGCTCATCACCCAGCTGTCTGGTTCTTATTATTCATCCATGTTCCTATCCTCTAGCCATCCCTACATTTCAGTAAGCTTAAACAACTTGTTCTTTTACAGCAAATGTTGTTAACTAACAGTCATTGCCTAAATATTCAATTTAATAATCAATAAATTAAAATTCTGCATTAGTAACTTTTTGTGCCATAAATCACACTGACACACTCACACTCTGAGGATCTATTGGTTCTTTGCACATTTTGAGTCAGACATGAAGAATTCAGTGATATGTTATCTGGAGACTTCTGAATCACTGAATGAGTGAGTTGTTGACTCAAGAACAGCTGCAGTCAGATCAGTCCAATTCACAAATGAATCTTTCAGACACTTTTTGAACAGATACAAGTTAATCGAAAAGAATGGGCTCAGATATGGAGTTGATTTCTTCAAAAATATCAATAATTATTCTTTGAAATAACAAGGAATGATGTTTTTATTAAATGTTGTGCAGTAAAATGTATGAAAATATGATATATACAGTATATGCTTTGGAATGTAGTAAAGTAAACGCTAAACTGAAAAAATAAAATGATACCATATTCCAGTACTAGGTTGAGTATACTGTGTGAATATACTTTGTGATCTGTCCTTCAAGATATATGTCCCTAATCACATTTAAGAGGGCTTGATGAACGGTCAACAGTGAACACTAATCTAAATATCGTTAAATTTTTTGCCTCAATCATTTCTGGAAGAATTGAATGTTTGATCTTGATAAAATAATGGAATATACAGTTCAGTTTCAAAAGTGACTGCATCAGTTTCACAAGGCAGAACACTTTGATCATTCTTCAGATCTTATTCTAATAGTTCACCCAAAAATGAAAATTCTGTCATTACTCACCCTCATTTTGTTCATCTTCGGAACACAAATTAAGATATTTTTGATGAAAACCCGAGAGCTGTCTGTCCCTCCATAGACAGCAAGGGAGACTGACACGGAACAGA